GGCGACAGCCGATGGCGGCGTGAAGCCGAGCTGTGCCCGCCGTGTGGAGTGCGCGAAGATGGGGCAGCACTCGGATGTTATATTCGATCATTTCAACTTCCCACGGGGTATGGAGGAGCCGCTGCACACCGGCAAACGCGTGGTATGAAGTCAGCGCCAAGTTCTGCGGCCGCTATGTAATGCCCCGCCACGCCTTTGTCTCTCTTTCTCTCTGGGTGCCACACTCCCTCCAACCCCACATGTACACACACACACACACACAAAAACGCAGACATTCTTACACACATAAAATATCAGGAATGATATGCATGCAATTGTACACTCTCACTGATGTGCTGTTCGTGAATATGGTGATAACAGCCGCTCTGTCTCTCTCTATCAGAGAGGAACAAAATGTATTTATATATACGTGGCTATCCACACCCACTCAACTGCACATGCATCTTCTTTTTCCGTTCGTGTAGAGCTCTCGGGCCGGTGTAGAAAGGAGAATACGGGGAAGCCGTAGTGTTTGTGGGGGGAGCGTGACACAACGAATCAAAAACAAAAGCCCCAACAGAAAATAGAATCATAAAACGAGGGGCCACGGGTGGTATGAACTCGTACGTCCGACTCTTTTGTGGTGATCAGACCGCGCTCACCTGGATCGGATGGAAACGTCGCCGCGACAAGCAGATATTTCTTGGCAGCATTCTCGCTGCTGCTGCCATGTACGCCGGGGTGTATTACTACGAGGAGAAGGAGCGCAACCGTCGGCATACCTCCATCGAGAAGGACATTGAGCGTGAGCGGTGGCGGGCGCAGGAGTTGGGCCTTGGCGAGCCGACTGACGACGGCTTTGCGAAGAGGCACATCGAGAGATTGCACAAGAATGACTGATAACGCATTGTGTTCATATGCATGTGTGTGTTTGTGTGGCTCTGGGTGGCAATGAGTGGGGTGGGGCGAGTTGATGGGTGGGTGAGAGTGCGTTGTGGATGCCAGGAGCTGCTGTGGGTTCTAGCACGTGCACCTTATTTGGGAACAATAATGAGGTGCCCATTTTCGGTTTAGCGTGGGAGCAATGATGAAGGCGACCGGCGAGGAGGACGATGTGGTGTAGCTGTGCTTTTTTTTTCTGTCTCTCTGTGTGTGTGTGTGTGTGTGTGTGTCACTGTCATCGTTTCCTTCACGCCTTTCACTTCTCTCTTCAGTGTGGGCTGGCGAAGGGCGTGTGTAGCGCTTGTGCATACGTACACACACACACACATACAGTGAGAGAGAGCGAGAGGGAAGGGTAAACAGATAGATTGATGGAGGCAAAAGACCTTGCAGCAGCAGCAGCAGTGGCAGCGGGAGGAATTTGCGTGGAGCCGCGCATTAAAGTCATCTCCATGGGCTCCTCTGGTGTGGGGAAGAGCTGCATCATCAAGCGCTACTGCGAGGGCCGCTTCGTGACGAAGTACATTCCCACCATCGGCATTGACTACGGTGTGAAGCGGGTGGTCGTGCGTGCGCCGCCGCACATGTTGCCCGCGACGCCGAAGCTTGCCGTGCGTGTGAACTTCTGGGACATGGCCGGCGGCGAGGAGTATTTAGAGATCCGCAACGAGTTCTACAACGCCGCCGAGGGGGCGCTGCTCGTGTACGACGTGACCGACGCTGCGAGCTTCGCCGCGCTCGACAAGTGGGTGAAGGAGATGGAGACGAACGCGAGCGTGCGGCGTGGGAGCGGCAACGAGGCGGTCACCGCGAGCGTCGCGCGGGCTGCCCCGAAGGCGATGGTGGTGGTGGTGTGCGCCAACAAGGCAGACGACGAGGTGTACGCCGGCGCCAGCACCAGCAACAACAACAACAGCAGCAGTGGCGTTGGCGGCAAGAAGCGTGTCGTGAGCGACGCGGAGGGGCGGCGGTGGGCAGAGGGGCGCGGTTACAAATACTTCGAGACAAGTGCCTGCAAGGGCACGTGCGTCGCTGAGGCTCTGGAATCACTCTTCAGCGATGTGGTGGCGAGGTTCATGTAGAGGACAAGAGCCGAAGAGGGAGGGGAGGGGAGGCGCGGTACGAAACCAAACTCCACCGCCAAAAGAAAAAAAAAACAGTGGGAAATCACACCCATGTGTGTCTGGGGTGAGGGGCACAGCATCACGCACCCAGTGCACTGTACGCGTGCTCTGCGGCGCTGCTCCGCTAGAGGGGGGTAGACTATTGTCTTTTTTTTCCCCCTTTTGCATTATTCTTTGCCCCTTGTCTTGTGTTTCCGGCATTGCGCGTGGCAACGCCAGTAACCTCACTCGGGTACACATAGGGATACGCCATCGGTGTCTGCTCTCGCACATACATACATACGCAAGGTGAAACATGTCCCGCCAATTTGTTTCGGAGTACGTGGCGAAGCAGCTGCTCGGTGCACGCGTGCTGGACGCCGTGGCGGATGCCGCCGCAGCGCCGGTGATCGGCACGCACAACGGCGCGTTCCACTGCGACGAGACTCTGGCGTGTGGGCTGCTGCGCTGCAGCCAGCAGTTCAGCCCCGCCAACATCCTCCGCACGCGTGACGCGACTGCGCTGGAGAAGTGCCACATCGTTGTCGACGTGGGCGGCGTGTACGACGGGGTCGCGCTGCGCTTTGACCACCACCAGTCGTCGTTCCACGGCACCATGACAACGCCAAAGGCGACGTACCACACGCGGCTATCGTCGGCTGGGCTTCTGTACAAGCACTTCGGCCGCGGGATCATCCAGCGCTACGTGGAGGCTGCGCTCGCGTCGCCGTACCGCGAGCAGCTGCTCGAGGCGGGGAATTGGGCGCCCAGCAAGAAGAATCTGTCGGAGCAGGAGCTCGACACGCTCTATGACATTGTGTACCGCAACTTCGTCGAGCACATTGACGGCATCGACAATGGCGTCAACGCATACGGGCCTGCCGAGGTGGAGGGAGAAGGTAACGCGAGCGAAGCCAGCGCGGCTGCTGCGGCTGCCACGTCGTCGTTATCGTCGTCATGTGTGCGGAAGTACAGCGTGACGACGACGCTTTCCGACCGCATTGGCCGTCTCATGCCGTGGTGGAATGAACCCGGCAATGACAGCGCGGAGTGCGAGAAGGCCGCCTTCCTGCAGGCGATGGAGCTGGCGACCTCGGAGTTCTTCCATGCGGTGCACTACCACGCCTTTGCGTGGCTGCCGGCGCGCGGCATCGTCGAGGCGGCTTTTCTCGACGCGACGCGGGTGCACGAGAGCGGCCGCATTGTCGTCTTCGGCGACCGCTTCTGCCCGTGGAAGGACCACCTGCTGGAGCTGGAGGCCGAGCACGGCAAGGTGGGCCACGTGCTCTACGTTCTCTTCTCTGACAAGAAGAACTGGCGTGTGCAGGCGGTGCCGAAGGACGTGTCGGGATTCGAGAACCGCAAGCCGCTGCCATGGCGCGGGCTCCGCGACGAGGAGCTGAGCAAAGCGAGCGGCGTCGACGGTGGCATTTTCGTACACCTCTCCGGCTTCATTGGCGGCAACAAGACGTACGAGGGCGCGCTGCAGATGGCGGTGAAGGCTTTGACTGTGGTGAACTGAGTGTGCACACAGAGATAGAGAGAGAGAGAGAGAGATAGGCGTATATGCTTGTACCTGGGTAGCGACATAGCGTGGGGGATGCACAACGAAGGCGGCGTTTGTTGGTGAAAGGGTCCATTGCGGGGTGCCTTAAAGAAACCTTAACCTCTTTAAAAAGTGAGAACTAAAATAGGTGTGAGAGACGGAGGCAGGTGTGTGTGGGCCGGGGGAGAGAGAGAGTGAGACCAATTCGAGGGAGCAGCTTCTTTTGCACGCCAATGCTACAATTCCCATTTGTCCTCAATTGCAATTCAAGGAAACCTAAAAGAGAGAAAAAGGGGAAGGAACGGAACACAGGTAATAGAGAACGGTGAGGCGTGGCGTCGGCGATGCTACAGTCTCTCAGACTGTTGCCCCCCGCGATGCGTTGCGCCGCTGCACGTTCTGCGACTGCTGCCGCTCCCTGCTGTTGCGGCGGGAGCAGCGGTAGCAGGATGAACACCGCGTGCTGGGGCCCGGCCCTATTCACCCCTGTGCGTGGCATTATTGTACCGCAGCAGCTCAAGGCATACGGCGGCACATTCAGCCAATCGGTCGGCGAGCGCTCCGACCACCTCGTTGGGGATGTTGTGCTGCAGAGTCTGTCGCCTTCCCGCACCGAGAGGTCACCGCTGCTGTCCAAGGGCAGTAAGACAAAGACTGTGACGAGCTTCGAGGACATGCTGCTTGCACCGGAGCTTCGCACTGTGTTGGCGCAGCGCTTGCATGTGACGACACCCTCACCCATTCAGCAGACCGCCATTGAGGTGATTCTGCAGCGCAAGAACACCGTCGTGGCGGCCCCGCACGGCGAGGGCAAGACGCTCGCGTACCTGCTGCCGCTGTATCAGAACATGATGAAGGACCGTGACGTGTACAAGATCCCGCTGCGCGAGCGCCGCCCACGCATGATCCTGCTAGCGCCAACAAGGGAGCTGATTGCGCAGCTGCAGCACGTTTGCGCTGCACTCGACGCGGCCACGGGTCTGCGCTCCGTCTCCTTCACCTCACGCCGGCGGGCGAAGCACCACGTGAGTCGGCTACTGAGGCACAACCTCGCGGATGTCGTCATCATGGACCCCAAAGTCGTGCTGCGCCTCATTCGCACGCGCCGACTCTTCCTTGATGACATTCGCTACGTCGCGGTGGATGAGGCGGATGCGATGCTGTCGTCGCAGCATGACCACGACGCGGTGCATCTCCTCATGAAAGTGCAGAAGCGGATGATGTTCAAGCACCTGTGGCCGGTGCAGACGCAGACGGTGTTCGCCACCGCATTTATTACGCGGAAGCTGGAGCACGTTGTGGGGAAGAAGTTTCCAGACGCCGTCACGTGCATGCAACGGCAGCGCATGCACCGCCCGCCTGAGACCCTTCGCCACCGCTTCTTTGCCGTGAAGAGGGAGCAGGAGAAAATGGATGTGCTGCAGCATCTTCTTAAGAAGCACGGCAACCGGCCACGCGAGATTGAAACAGATGTGGGTGAGGTGCAGGCGCACACGAAGCCGCACTATTTGTCGGGGACCTTGGAGGATTTCATGGAGCGCTATGGCCTCGATCGGCGGCCGCAGCGGGGCCGAGACGAAGCGGAGGGGGAAGGGGAGGACGGCGGCGGCAAACTCGCGGCGGCCTCTCCCCCTGTTTTCTCTTCCGCTTCCTCCTCCTCGTCCTCCGCCCCCACCTGCACCTCGGCTCTTCGCGGAGACGGCGACCGGCAGGAGGCGGCGCGGTGCGCACTGGAGCGTGTGCGCCCGCTGCGGTGGGAGCACCTCACGA